CACTCCTTCTTTTCCTACCACCCTCCCCATTTTAGTCACAGCCTAAAAAAAACCCTTTAAAATCTCACCATAGTAGAAACCGTTGCACACACAACGAGAATCGATCCAGGACCCTCCGTTCAGACAGCGATTCAGCTGATAGGGAGTGCAGTTCGGGTTATTCACACAGAAGGCGGGGTTGATTGGACCCGGATTTGCCAACCGGGCGGTGTAAATCATACACATAGCTGTTGAGCCTGGAAAAGGAACATACAACACCAGCATACCCTCCTGAGTTCTCCCTGCCATAGCTATACACTGTGAAGGCGACTTGAAATGCTTGGAGACAGTTGTGACCATAGACCTTTCATCCAGCACCAGCTGGTCCTTGGGGACTTTAGAAGCTGTAAAGGCTTGGACTGTCTCCAGCGGGACCGGTATTGGCGGGTTCCCCGAGCTCGAGCACAAGGCAAAGGTCAGGGTCACGATCAAGGTGAAGGTCACAAAAGAGGAAGGGTTGAAGGTGAATGGCATGGTGGACGGCGTCGAATTCCTCCTAGAAAGATAATTGTGGTGGTCTTCTGGGCTGATTTCTTCAATAAAGACCTGTGGAATGTGGAGACAAAACATATTTTTATGATTGATCAGATTTGTAGATTTGAAGAACTCTTTTTTTCCGAAACTTGGAAAGTAAACTTTGGTGAGCGCTTTATTTCACCAAGATGATACCTATAACGTGGATCGGTCTGGGGAAATCAGGATTATGTCGCCTCTGGTCCATTTTGACTTTTTGTGCTTTAAATATAATTATACACATATTATGATATACACATGTGTATAACATGTAGGTATGTGCTATCGTGGTGAAATCAGACGCTCGTCACAATTGACAGATCAAGTTTTGGAAAACCACTCTTTGTTTGTAAAGGAATTTATTTTACAAATACCAAATGTTAAAACTATATTCTGCTCATTGAGGAATCAATCAGACTGACGTCATCTGCGTGCGACGGCGAAGGGCCTAACTTCTTTGTTTGTTTGTTTGTTTGTTTGTTTGTTTGTTTGTTTGTTTGTTTGTCTGTTCGTTTTCGTCACGTGCCTTGATTTTATTGCTGATAATTTGTAGGTTACCTAAAAATGTGTCAACATGGGGTTGGTTATCATGCTTCAAGAAAAATAAAACAAGAAAAAAGGGGACTTGTTTGGTCTGTGATGATGATGATGATGATGATGATGATGATGATGATGATGATGATGATGATGATGATGACGATGATGATGACGATGATGATGATGATGATGAGGATGATGATGATGACGATGATGATGACGACGATGATGATGGTGATGATGATGATAAAGATGACGATGATGATGTATGGCGGTAACGATGATGCTGCTGTAATGCTGGAAATTATGTGCAAGTTAATCTTGGTGTTAGTTTATTTTTTCGTAAGGCTCTTACTCTAGATCCGTCAGGCTGTCCCACATGTTGCACCTCAAACACTGGGCCCAAACATTAACGTAAGAAGCACGAAAAAAGAGAGGGAAAATACAGAGACGATACGTCATGGCCATCTGCGGGTGAGATTTTCCCAATTTTTACTCAGTTTGACCATATAGTTTTTCCTCTCCATTTTTGAAACCTACATCCATTTCCATCAAAGTTTTGAGCGTCCGCTTCAATCAATTATATTTCAAAGTCATTTAAAAATTGGTTTTTAAAAAAATATTTTGCAATTTTGGGTCATGTTTTTAAATATTTTCTTAATTTTTTCCAAATATTTATTTTTTCGACTTTAAATTACATCTTCTCTTTTATTTTCCATCTGAATAGCTTCATTTTTTTACACAGTGTACATCCATTGGAGACCTATACTGAAATAGAGCCCTTTTTGAAGATACTCTAAGATTAAAATTACAATCAGTGTTTTTGTTGGGAATTTTGAGATTTTTTTGCTCTTTATCTATGTACACATTTCCAGAGTCCATAATCATTTTCTTAATCATAATATTACAAATCTGGCGTTATTTCTTCATTACATAGGTGTTGTAGTTTGTACTTGCTAAAAATGAAAGCCAACGGACGTAAACTAAGAGAGAAGATAGCTTTTGAAATTTGATGAAATTATCCAATATGGCGGATGTTTGCTTGGTTACCATGGTAACCATGTGCTTATAATAATAAATAATTACTTGAATTAATTCTTTAATGTCTGACTAATATGAATATATCATCTTTGCTGCATATAGTCAAGGGATATGGATTTTAAAAATTCCACCTGCAGATGGCCATGTAAAGTAATTTACGCCCCCATCTACACCTAGATACGATCACACAGGAGGCGGGCTGCCACGGTGCTTCCTGCCATGACCAAAGATTTTTTCTTTGTCAATGTCGCTGTTTTATAATAATAATAATAATAGATAGCATTTGTATAGCGCATATCCCCGCTCAGCAGCAGGCTCTATGCGCTTTACACTATATTATTACCCCAGCAGACCATAGAACACTCCGAAACATTCTCAGCTTCACGGGAAGCATACAGTGCAAGCAGCCGATTAAGCGCTCAAATACTAACAAACTGACAAGATCTTTCGCTGTCTATAGCTGGGTACCCATTCCCACCTGGGTGAAGTGAGGAAAATTCGTGTAAAGTGCCTTTCCCAAGGACACAACGTATGGCCCTTGACGGGATTCGAACCCACGACCTTACGGTTGCGAGTCCGAGAGCCTAACCACTAGGCCACCGACGCCACTTTTCCCACACCTCTCCATTTACCGCCACCCATGGACCCGAATTAGATCATTTAAAAGGTGGGGTTTGATTCTGTCTGATAGGTTTAACCCAAGACTGAACGTCCAAGCAGAAAGACAGAGTTGTAAGATAAAAATTATCCGTACTTGCGAATCGAGCAAGGGTGTCCTGTATTCGACAACGAAGTGCCTAACTGCTACACAACAGATGCTGGTGTGGGGGCAACATCCTAGTAGACGGACGGAGATGCTCGAAAAAATATACACTTTCAAACTAGGGAATTAAAATCACGTGCTCTGTTTGCGCCAGCAAAGAGTTTAACCATTACACAACAGACGCATGTTATTTACCTTTCTCTAGGAGATTGTAATTTTGCCACTATTGTACATAAAGGCGTGTTTATCAGATTCATCTTGCTACACCATTTTTATTTTCACTGTCTAATAAACGTAAGTCACACTAGTGTAGTTTTTTTAAGAAAAAGGCAAAAAACTGTTCTTCGTTAATATAGCATTGCACAGGGAAAGGCGAGCTAAAACAAGTGACATAACTCTGCAAATCAAAGATACAGTCTCCATAGAAGGCTGATAGGGTGTAGTCCCCTCTCTTTTATCATCCTATGGAAAAAAATCTTGATTTTGGCAAAAATGGACTTTGGTACCTTATTGAAATGACCCGTTCTTTGTTTTTCGTCTTTTGTCCCATCTTTTAACCGTTAATCTAAACTTATCCGTCATGTTATCATGAGCCCCAAGCGTATCAACCTCTATCTTATCTTTATCTTATCTTATGATACTCAACAAAGGAAGTCTATTTGTATTCACGTTACCTTAGTATTTGTCGTTGGGCGCTCCTTTATCTCAGTTGATATTAATCCGGAGAGTGATGCGACCGACTCCTGTTCGAACCTCTGTTCTAAGGTAGGTTATTCTTGGAAGTTTTCAAGGCTGTCCACCTGTGTCGGTGCTATTGGAGCTGGACTTAAAATTCGGAGATCTCGGCTTTTGAGTTACCTCACAATGGTTACAGCAAGGCATTCAAACTCGTGGCACGCGGGCCATGCAAGCTCACGTCATTATGATACTTTGCGTCTTTATTTAATAACAATAAGGTTTTTGTATGGGGCAAATTCCCGTTCAACTGCAAGCTCTATGCGCTTTATAATCTATATAAAGACCCTAGCAGACCTGATGGCACTCTGAAACAATCTCAACCTCTCAATAAGCATACAGTGCAAGCTGCCATTTTACAGGCGCTTAAACAATAACATACTGACAAGATCTTTCGCTGTCTATGGCCGGATACCCAATCACACCTGGGTGAAGTGAGGAAAATTCGTGTTAAGTGCCTTTCTCAAGGAAACAACATCGGGATTAGTTTACCTTTTTCTTTATTTTCTCTTTGACATTAATTTTCCATCCCTGTGAAATTGAAACAATTTCTTTTACATAGTTATAAAAACCTACGATTTCATTCTGAAATTCCTAGAAGTAGTGCTCCAAATTCCCTCCTTTGGACTCGACACATTTTTACGCGTCGTTCTAAATGTTCAGTGGCGCCCTAACACAAGGACCTGCTAAACCATGAGCTTTTCAAGCCACAAACACTGTACATATTCACTAAGAAGTGGCTTCTAGAGACAAAAGAGTGAGGTGCCCAATAGACAGAATTTTTGGAGGTAACATATCCCGCAGGGTGAAAATGGGCTTTGCACTAAATCAAAAGTCATCGAGGAAATGATCCCTCTTTACAAGACAATCAAGGAATCATGAACACATTGCCATGCTCTGATCCATGTCATCTCGACCTACCTTAAATGATGGTATAGTCGTAGGTTAAGATCTGCTATGAGAATGCAGACTGTTGATGTGTAGGAAAGTCCTAGCTACAGATCGTCTACGGACAGACGTCTCATGGGACTAGGCTACTGAAATCTGCACTCTGGTGACGTTTAAAGGGCTGCGCATGGTGCATGGTCGACCTGAAGTGGTCATTTTTTAAAGAACTTTTTAGTTCTGATTCGCTATATATCCAAACTGACGGAACTTTTCTACTCATGACGCCAAAGGTCTTGAGGGCACCTAAAGATTCTCTCCATGCAGTGTGCAGAACTTACGAAATGTCAGGGATGGTGAGTTTGTGGAGAGGTAAATGTTCAATACAAAAAGCTCTCCGCTCTTTACTAAACCATGATCTCAGCAGTCAAACCAAATTTGTGAAAAATAATATCTGCAGACTTCTGTTGACTTGTTAGACTGCTGTAGCTTGCAATATGGCGGGATTGTTGCAACTTTTAGTGGTGTGCCTAATGTGAACTGGTGCGCCATGCTATGAAAATAGCGACAAGGTTGAAAATGCGTTGTTTTTTTAATGCGCTGTATAAAGCAAAACCATTTGATGGACTTATCTAAAATACATATCTAACAAATTCTTTTTGGCTTCCAAACGTTTTTGTTCAAATCTGAAACGCAAAACTTCAGTATGGAGGAAGATATTTACAAAACAAGTTGTAAAGGTTTTTTTTTGGATCACCCTGTATTCTCATGTTGGTGTGGAATTGCCATGCAAAATTAATTTTTAATTAAGATGGAAAATGGAAGTATGGGAGTGGTGATATCGTAGAATTCATTTTATGTTTTGTTTCCTAACTTATCAGACCTGAAGTAAAACTGTTGTGGAGGATGTGTCCTCTCTCTACATAAAGTAGCTTCTGTAACACTTGTCTCACAATCCAACAGAAAAGTATGGTGTGGAATTTCCCCATTTTACTATATTTCTAAAGATACTTGGAGTCTATAACTTTGTGGAA